CCTTACACAGTCTTGCCTCTCCTCACACAGTCTGGCCTCACAATCTTGCCTCTCCTTACACAGTCTGGCCTCTCCTCACACAGGCTTGCCTCTCCTTACACAGTCTGGTCTGTCCTTTCACAGTCTTGCCTCTCCATACACAGTCTGGCCTCTCCTTACACAGTCTTGCCTCTCCTTTCACAGTCTTGCCTCTCCTTACACAGTCTTGCCTCTCCTTTCACAGTCTGGCCTCTCCTTACACAGTCTGGTCTCTCCTTTCAGTCTGGCCTCACCTTACACAGTCTTGCCTCTCCTTTCGCAGTCTTGCCTCTCCTTATGCAGTCTGGCCTCTCCTTTCACAGTCTTGCCTCTCCTTACACAGTCTGGCCTCTCCTTTCACAGTCTGGCCTCTCCTTTCACTGTCTTGCCTCTCCTTTCACAGTCTTGTCTCTCCTTACACAGTCTTGCCTCTCCTTTCACAGTCTTGCCTCTCCTTACACAGTCTTGCCTCTCCTTTCACAGTCTGGCCTCTCCTTTCACAGTCTTGCCTCTCCTTACACAGTCTGGCCTGTCCTTTCACTGTCTTGCCTCTCCTTACACAGTCTGGCCTCTCCTTACAGTCTTGCCTCTCCTTACACATGCCTAAATGTTCAGACAATAATGTAAACCAAGATATTTTGTTCACACATCCTCCACCTCACATCTTTTGGGTTTGTAAAAAGGATGGAGACATAAATGAAGATTATGACTATTAAATAGTTCATTTGAGATTAAAAAACAATGAATGTTATCTATGCATTCATTCAATTTGCAAAAAGGTTATTCTTTCATACCAGCAGGAAACTAAAAAAAACCATTCCCATCAAGGCACAATTAAAATGAGAAATACTGCTCTGTGAATCCAAAATGTAAAATCTCAGTGAGTAACACAATATGCCTGTTATACAAATGTATCATGCTGCATATTGTAAGAAGCAACTTATTGTTAAGCAACCATTTCAGGTCAGAGTTGGTTTCTGATATGTCTTCTGTCAGAGGACATCAGATCTAGGAAGCCAAAGAATAGGGTCTGCTGCTTTCTACTACATTTTGGAGAAGACACTACAAAGAGTTGGTCACCTGCAAAATCTTAGGTTTTCTTCCATGTCTTCTTAAAATGGGGGAAATAGATCTGCTGCCTTTCTTACAACACTTTGGATCTTGATATTATCCTTAATGTCCTGTCTGTTTTTCTTTCTATGCTTTATTCTTCACTTTTGGTGGCTGTCTTTACACCTGTTCTCATGTGACCCTGGCTGTTATAAATATATTAATCCTTAGAAAAAAAATTTTCATGAAATCCCAGGTCATACTTTAACATCATTGATTGTTGGTTTAGATTTTTGTGAATTTTCCACATGGATTTTAATGTTTTTTGGCTCCTCACATCACGAGTACAAAGCAAATGGTTGATATATATACCACTATTGCAGTTAAAGTTTTTCGGCCATTACTGCTTTATTTTTTAATTTACGTTTGTCTAGCACAGAAAAGTTAATCTGTAAACTGGTCACAGAAATTGGTGTATATAGTTATATGAAATTTTAGTCCAGCTTATTGTGGTGATAAGGACAGGAAGCAGGTCTGAATCGTGCTGAAACACCTGATTGTCATGGAAACAGATTAATCAAGGTTGCAGGTGTGTTGTTAATAGTAGTAGATGATAGAAATATGAGGGAGGTGTAACTTGTTGGTATGATTTGTATGTCTAGATTTCTGACAGACACTATATGGACCATGCCTGAAGATCTGGTGTTTTTTCCACTCTGAAATTACAGTAGAGCAATCGGATATCTTTGCAATAATCAAGGATGATAATGATGATGATTAGAGAATTTAGTGCAGGATTATAGCCCGATGTGGTCCTAATGACATAATGTAGGGAGAATTACAGGGGATGCTGATGCCTATTGTTAGTTAATTAATATTGGACGTAAATGAAATTGAAATATAAGATCTTAAAATTGGTCAATGTTGTGGAGTTAAATCAGCTGATGATCAAAAGATAATCAATAGGCTCTCGCTTACATACGTGGGAACAATTATGGAGGGGAGGATAGATCATATGATTTGTCTGGCTATGTTTAGTATTAGTATAACATGTTACTGCTATAATTTGATAAAGAACACCTACGTATCCAGTATCAAGTTGAAAAGCATACATAGTTGTGACATGGCATGATATATAGAGGGATAGATCAACATCAAACTAATACTGTGTAGAATGGTGAAAATTATAAATTTGAAGGGGAAAATAAATACAGACATGTTATACACCTGTAGTTATTATATGTAAATGCAACAAATATTTAATAAACGATCTTTACTTTATCTTCGGATAAATTGGTAGTACTAAATGTAGACATATTTATCCTCCCTCCAATTAGAAAAGAAATATCCAGAACTTCCCTCCCCTCCCCCTCTCCTCACTCGCACATTATATATATTTATCCTGCAGTTTCTATCGAAGGGGACATGAATTGAAAGATGACCAGAAGCAGCTCTTCTTTCCTTTGATATATGTACGATTCATCACTTGTGACCGGTTAACATTGCTAATTAGGTAGCTGGATAAAGGTATTCCAGTTGGTTTATGTGAGATTCCTGTCGTGTCATTATTTTCCATACTAAGCTGGGCATTCAGCGTATCATGCACTCAATTAGTCTCTCTGCTAATGATTCTTTGGATGTTTTATCTCTGAAACATGGATTGTTGAGGTTGAAAGGGTAAATGGAAATTTCTAAATATGGTATGGATGAGGTATTACGAAATATGTTTTCCGTATGTAATTATATATAGGATTTACTATGTCTTAACATCTGCTCTTGTAACTATATGTGTTTATTTTGTACGATGTATTTATATATTTAAGTGTAAATAATGAATGGGAAACATTTCCATTAAAGGTAATGGATGTGTTTCTAAGATCTGTTGTCCCTAGAACATCAAAAACATAATTGAAAGAAGAAAAAAAACCATGAACTGTTACAATCTTCAATATGGTAACATGTTTATGGACCACGGGACTGGAATTTGTGCCAGGTCCCTATGTACTAAAATAAGGAAAAGATGTTTCAGATGAATCAAATCAAGAAAAAAGTTACCATATTGCTAAAAGAACTGGTTGTGGAGAACTTGTTTATACTCATGAATATCTGCTTAATATTGTGGTGGTTGAAACGGGGTCAAATTTTTATAATTAAATTGATTTAAGAGTTTAGACTTGTATCTGCGTTGAATCGCACTAAGATTCACACCACATTCATGAACAAGGTTTTGTAATGGGGCCTGTTGGCTTCACTGGTAGATATTTGTGTAGAGAACAATGTATCAGAAGATCAATGGAGCAGTGGTATGATGTTATTCTTCATGATGAATGCTTAATCTATAGTCAATACTATTTCCGATAAAATGACTGCAGATCAATTTGTGTAAATTTACATTCCATGTTGGGACAAAAGGTGTGGGACTAGAAGCAGCTTTTGTCTTGGGATCCCTGTGTGAAGGTGGTGCTATACCTGTGTGATGATTCTTGCATAATTCATGAGAGTTTGGGGGTCGATGAAGGCTAGGCAGTTCTACTACAAAGGGCTGTGTATATATGTATACATAACAAGCAGCCCTATAGTGCCAGTCTGATGCAAGGGAAGTTGAGAGAACAAGCATAGATTAAAGCTATTTAATTCTGAAAAAAATGTTTAGAGGTTAAAAAAAACTAAAGTAAAAGATTGTGCAGGATAAATTGCATTATCTTGTTTTTGTGGACCATATTCTAATGCTGAAACATACACAGAAATTCACTGTAGAAGTGTTTGACAAATTGGTTCAACGTTGAAGCAGTGTTGTTTAAAGCATAGATGAAAATAGAAAACAACTTTGAAAATTAGATGACAATAAATGTAGAATAAAATGAAAGTAACATGCAAGCAAATAGACTTGTTACATGGATATTTCTGGTCATTAGTAGCTGTGAGATAAATTCAAAGTTAATGCAAATTTTTATTGAAAAAAATGTTAATTGAATATTATAAAGAGAAAAAAGAACTGTTTAAAATTATTGTCATTGAGAAAGTTTATTAACGATAAAAATGATTCAGCTTGTATGCTGAGATTTCCATAATAAACCATCTTAAAGGCACATGGTCTGAATGATTAGGTAGAATGTAACTGTGAACCTGTATGAAAGATCAGTGTATCATTAAAAATTGTTTGCCTTAAGGAAGTAAGGATCAATAACCACAACAAGATGGCCGATTGATTTATTCTTGATCTGACAAGCTCTTCACTGATCTCCAGACCCAGGGCCTTTTGTCTATATACTTCAGCACACATCACAGTAATGTAAAGACCAAATGTCTTCAGGGACAGCAGCATTCAGTGATGAAAAATTTCTTAAGCATAAAAAAGGGTCTTTCTCACACAAAAAAAAAATGATTGTGCCATGTTCCATATATTTAAATGAGAATTGATTTTTGTTACCTGGATATGCTGATCTGTATTGAAGGGAAAAAAAAAAGAATTAGAACATGGCATTGATTATCATATGAAAGTGATGCCTGTCAGAAACTTTTTTTTTTTCTTTACGAAAAGTGATGTTTTCACAATAAGTGTTTTCTATCTATCTTGAGATCTACATATTTAAGGTTTAATGTTGTTTGAAGTAAGAAATTTACATAAAACTTCCCTGATTTTTCATTTCCAAACATTTTTCTTCTGATATTAATTTTTGAATCTCTCTGTTTATTGAAGCACTTAATAGACAGCTGAGTTTGCTTTGAATACTGTATAAGAAGCTTGGTGAAAACCATATAGGATCCAGTTTGTCATCATCTATCAAAGACATTACTGCATGCGACCAGTAACCTAACAGTTGTATAGGTGATATATACATGTTATCAGGTTATCATATATTAATGTATTACGGTTTGAATATTTTATATTTTCTGAATAGAAATGAAATGTTTTTCGCTTTCTGTTGTAGCTTCCGGTCTTCAGAAGAGCATACAAAGCTGATAGTTAACAACGAATCAATACTTTCACACCTGAACCAGGTAAGGTGAATTCAATACAGGTGCTAACTTGTTTTATTTAGACAAAATGTAATTAGTAGGTCAGGTAAGTGTTTGGCAGATTCTGTTGCAAACCTGAAGCTGGTGAGACTGGTTGTTACACAAACCATTGCAAAGGTGTGGCATCAAAGCTTAGCTGCTGCCCTCCTTGTATCAGCAACCCTGTGATCCGATATCCTTAAAACTGTAACATGTTAAAACATGTAAATGTGTTGATAGTTTATTAGTCCACTTGGCTAGAAGAACAACAAATTAAAGTTTGCTAAAAGATAATGACTTTGTCCCATATTTAAGGTGACAGGAATCCAACTTGCTATATATCTTCTTCTGATTAACCAAAAGAATTTGAATCGGAAAGAAGTCTGGCAAAGTTTGTGAAAAGAAATAACCTAGACTGATATAGATGGTCAAAAAATCAAACTCATTTCTCATTTATCATTAAAGGAAACATCTGTTTTGTCTATATTTACATATTTATGTCTATTTTGATATTTGTGCATTGTCTCGTGGTGACCTATTCTAATATCCTTCATCTGGCATCATGCTTCCATTAACAGTTTAACACTTTTGACTTCTTCTCAAAAACCCCTGATCCGATTTCAGTGAAAGTTTTCAGAAACCTTCCCTGACCTCAAATTAAACAAAACTGAATAATACAGCAGGGCCAAAAGGTGTCAAATTGACTTAAATTTCGAAAATCTTCTCTTAATGAATGGAAGCGTCTTAAGGTGCTTTACCAAAATTGTGATTTCATGGCTCCAGGGTCTCACATTTCCCCATGGGGAGGGGGTAAAGTTTACTTCAGTTTAATAGGAAAACTAGATTTTTGAGCATAGGAAATATTTCAAATTTGGTTAGAATTATTGATGAAGGATGACGGCTTCATGGTTTGCCCATTTTGATCCTGAATGATCCCCAGGGGCTGATGGGCGGGGCCAAAAGGGGTCAAATTTATTTAAATTAAAAAAATCTTCTCAACACCGAGATATGTTATAATCAAATACTCTTCAAGAATGGAAGTATCTTGAGGTGCTTTAATTATGAAAATGAGTCTCACAATTCTTCCCGGGCAGGAATAATTTTTTTAGACTTAGAAAAATTGCATTTTCGATCATAACGTTGGTTATTTCCCACTGGAAATAACTTTATAAGAATTACCAGCATAGGATGACAGTCTTGATGGTATGCATGTATTGACACTGGTTTACTAGATTCAGTTTCAGAATTTCTGTTTCATAACACTTGATAACTATCCTTTACTTTTACCTTTATATTCAATATTGCTTATCTCAGGTGACCGTCAAGATTGCTAGGCCTCTTGTTTGTAGAAGAATCTCTCCCTCATCCAAGCATCACCATGTGATTGATGAGAGGGATTCTCTGTAATGAAAGCCCGAGGGCTGGACAGTTACATTGCACTTGTCACTTTACAAGGTGCGGTACAGGGGTCCGGCATGCACATTTAATGTTGGCCTTTGAAGGTCAGTGTCGCACACCTTGTAGAGTGACAAGTGCAATGTAACCGGACAGCCGGAGGGCTGAAATTGAAATTTGAGAACTATAGTTTATTCAAATCAAAAGGGCATTTTTTTTTTCATGTAAGTAGTGAAAATTATTAACTTGATAAAAACAGTTTATGTCTGAAGCTAAACTAATGTTCTTATTGGGAAACTTTAAAATTCTCCATTTCACCAGAACTACAAATATTATTCCTGCTTGTGAACAGCCGGTTGAAATATGAGCATGCACAATCTAAGGTTTTGCTGTAGTTTACAACCGAAATACAAATAGCTGACAGTGAGAATTCACCAGTTTATTGAAAGAGATTACCATTAGATCTCTAAAATCTTGTGTCAACTAAGACATGGAAAACAAAATGGACAGGTTTGTGAGCCACAGAAAAGCTGAATCAACATTGGTAAATCTTGTGGAAGTAGAAGACAGTAAACGAAGCTGTCTAATGTCAAACAACTGAAAAAGGGCTCTTCTCTACACAACAGTTTATGACAACATTAAGCTCAAAATGAAGACTTAGTAAGAGAATATATAGCTGATCCATTTTTATCCTAAATTTATTATCATCTTTATACTTCTGTTTTAATGACACATGGTTATTTGGTGGTGAATTATGTCTTATGTCACATGATATCTAAATGAAGCTGATAAATGAGTAATAGAATGTTGACATACAAAAAATATACAGATAGCTGTAAGACATAAAATGTGCATTTTAGCTAGCATATTTTAGTGTTTAAACCAGGAAATATCCCTTTAACTGGCAGTGGTACTTTCAAATAGCAAGTGAAGATTATGGGAAATGTTATGATAGGTATTTCAGCAAATTTAGATCATTTGTGAGACATATTAAATGGATTCAAATCAACATTATAGGCCCTTCTGTTCTGATATACATTACAAAGATGATCAGACTCTAAGTGTCCCTCCACTTTATTATCAGGATCTGATAACTGACACCACTACTGATAGATCATTATAAAATCATGAAGGTTGGATTGGCCCTTGATGGAGATCATTTGATACTCTGTCTCCAATGACTACATCTTACATCTGTCTCGAAATAAGGCCCTAACCTATTATAGGTAGACTATATAAGTTTATTTCACAAGATGTGATTTCAGGGATTCAACTCAAAGTACAAGTTCATAATGGATTTCCAAATGTTGTATGTTGATCTTTTTTTTAGGGTACCTTTTAAATTACAAACAATGTAAGTGTTTAGTTGCAGTATAAGCTTTGTGAAGGTTCTTGATGCTAAATATTTGCATTCAACACTGAATTAAATACCTGTAGAAGGTTAGTTGTTACTCACAGCCTTTTTTCTTTTTTTCACAAATTCTGCTGACAAAGTCTCATGGTGACCTAATGCAATTACTTTCATCTGGCATCGTTTGCTCATAAACAATTTAACACTGTGGACTTTTTCTCAAAAACCCCCTGCTCCAATTTCAAAGAAATTTTGCAGAAACCTTCCCTGGCCTAAGATGAACTAAAATTGTGAATTAAACAGTCCCCACCCCCAGGGGCCTGAGGGGCGGGGCCATAAGTAGTCAAATTGACTTGGATTTCAAAAATCTTCTTTTCAAGACCTAGATATGGTGGAATCAAATATTCGTCATGCATAGAAGCATCTTAAGGTGCTTTACCAAAATCATTACGGGCCTCGAATTTAACAATTTTGTCACTTGCTAAAAACAGCAAGTGCCTTAAGTTTTTACTTGCTAAAATGACTTTTTACTTGCTATTACAGTAAATCTTCAAATAATGGGGTTTTTTTTTTTGGTGATTGATCATGTGTATTAATTTTCTTCATCCAATGATATCAATATTAGAATGTATGTAATGTCGATGTTATACTAAGAACTGCTTTGTCCCAATATTTTCATTGAAATAAATTCATTGACAACAATAAACAAGCAACTTTCAGTCAGTAAATTTGAGTCATGTACTAATACATGTAGTAAGTTCAAATTAAATGTCAATATTTCAAGAAATATTCTACGATGATATGACAGTCCTAGTGGACATAAATGATGAATCAATAACCATTTGACTATTTCTGAAAATGATTTTAACGCAAAGTTAACTGAAAACACAGACTACTAACCACTTTGAAAAATTGAAACTCAACAAGTTAATTTTAGTAGCATATTCTCTGCACACCACACTCCATATTTCATCAACAACATTGTCGCTGGTCATGTGTTTACCTAGGGTTATGTTGAGTTCTTTTTCCCATTTAGCAACTGTTTTGGCCAATGCCTTCACAGAATTGCAATTGGGCTGTACTAGTGATGTATCATTCTTGCTTTTTTTGTCTGTAATCACTTAATCGGCAGAACTACTATTTTTTCTTTTGAAAAAAGACAAAATTTTTTAAGTAGACAAATTTTCAGCCATAGTTAACAACGCCAATCTAACTCAGACACACGCTTGTAACATCATTCTGGGTCATCCAGGTTTCAAACATTTACGTGCATGTACAAGGGGTGCTCCGAATGGCGTGTGTGACTTTCATTTTCAGCTTTTTCATGTTTCAATTTTACAATGAACACAGGCTTCAGTTGAGGTAAATTATAAACAACAAATGTAATTTTTCCACGAACTGCCCGTCTTTATTTATTTGTTATGTAATTATTACAGCTTGCATCTGATAAATCCACTCGCTAAAAAAAGCAAGTGCATATTTTTCAGACTTGGATTTTCTCTCGCAAATAGCGAGTAAGACGCATTAAATTTGAGGCCCACGTTAATTTCATAGTTCCAAGGTCTCACATTTCCCCACGGGAAGGGGGTAAGGTTTACTTTAGTTTATAGAGGAAAACTAGATTTTTGAGCATAATTTGTTCAGTTTCCATAGTAAATATTTCAAATTTTGTTAGAATTATGAGTTAAGGGTGATGGCTTGATGGTATGCCCATTTTGATCCTGACTGACCCCCAGGGGCTGATGGATGGGGCCAAAAGGAGTCAAATTACTTAAATTTTTAAAAAATCTTCTCAACATCCAGATATGTTATAATCAAATACTCTTCAAGAGTTGAAGTACCTTAAGGTGCTTTAACTATGAAAATGAGTCCCTGGGGAGGAATATTTTTTTAAGACTTCACTAATTTTCACTAATTGATGATAACGTTGGTTATTTCCTACTTAAAATAACTTTATTAGAATTACCAGTATAGGATGACAGTTTTGATGGTATGCATGTATTGACACTGGCTTACTAGATTCAATGTCAGAATTTCTGTTTTATGACACTTGATAACTATCTTTTAACCTTTATATTCAATATTGCTTACCTCAGGTGACCATCAAGGCTGCTAGGCCTCTTGTTCATTGCTCTGGTATGTAATTTTAATGTTTCCTTATTGTAAGTTTTATAGAAAAGGGGAAGATGGAGTGCATAGATAACAAAATTGCTATATTCAGGAACATTTGTAAAGCAGGAATCAGATGAATTGAATTTCTATAGGGGTAAATCTATCAGAAATTTTCCCATCAGGCATTTTGTACAAAAAATATTTTCCTTATTTGAAAATTCCCTCTTTGAAGCAGTATTCCCCCTAACGAAGATTTCCTGTGAAAAATTTCACAAGAAATTTATCAGAAACATTGACATGTGTTGATATTATGTCAATGTATAGAAAAAATTTTGGAGGAATAATGCAGATTTTACTTTGTGCTTTCATTTACGAAGCAAATACAAGGACAGGGAAATTTCCCTGCAAATCAGATAATATTTCCCCTTTTTAGAAAAAAGAATATGCAACCAAAACCTAGATTGATCCTTTTTTTTGTCAGTCAGTAAAACCATGTTCATTGAAAATTTGTTTCACCCGATGAATAAATGGCTAACAATTTGTTGTCTAGTATGGTTAAGGTAAGATTGACCTTTAATAGGTAGGTACATAATGTTGCTTTTAGTGTTTTATTGAAATCAAATAATTTAGATGGCAATAATTTGAATTTTTTCCACTGTGTAAATAGTCCAGTAATAGCCTAGAAATATAGGGTATGCTAGTACTTCCGTTTAACAGGAGCGTTGTGTATAGTCAGGACAACCATTGAATAGAAGTGTTTCCCTGTTTCCTTTGGCTTTAGGCAAGGGTAAACAATGGTAGGCGTATCTGTCGCCTCTGACCATTCTGAAACTGGTGCTGGCTGGACAGTTGTAGCTCTCTTTGTTAGATACATTGTATGACAGTATGGATTGCTGGTTGTGCAATATTTGTTCAGTTGTTGAACAGAACTTGCCAAGCATTGTGACGAGCATTATTCCAAGGTTCTCACGGCTGTGTGATACAACAAAATGGTTTTATTTACACCTGAACAAAAGTAGAGAAAGTCCAATATGCTTGTTAGGGTAATTGTGGGTATCTAGCAGGAGTTTTCCGCCCTTCTTTTTCCCATTAGTTGTTGTTAGCAGACCTCGCCGTGCTGTACCATGTCACAGAGATGTCATCAATACTGTCAACAATAGCTGGTGTTTGATTATAGGATATCAATATTCCCCATTAAAACACTGATAACAGGCCACAAAAGTGATGCCAACAATTCTATAAAATATGGCTTCCACCCTTTACAATCTCTTTTTGTATTGCAAACAAAATTATTCCTCTGGCATCACTGTAGGATTCTACAAAACCCGCACTATTTCTACTGTTTGTCTATTGTTTTATTCCAAAAAGATTGTCTCTAATTCTATTTGTACTATCTATCTATTGTTCTGTACACAACAGATCAGCTCTAACCACTATATCTACTACTGTTTTGTCTCTACTCTGTACACAATGTATCTGTCCTAACACTGTTTCTACTGTCTGTCTCTTGTGTCTCTTTTTCTGTAAATAATGTATCTGTCCTAACACTTTTTCTACAGTCTCTCTTTTGTGTCTTTTCTCTATACACAATGTATTTGTCCTAACACTTCCTACTGTCTGTCTTCTGTGTCTCTACTCTGTACACTATGTATCTGTCCTAACACATTTTCTACTGTCTGTCTTTTGTATCTCTTTTCTGTACACATTGTATCTGTCCTAACACTATTTCTACGGTCTGTCTTTTATGTCTCTTCTCTATACACAATGTATGTAACCTAAAACTATTTCAACTGTTTTTGTATTGTGTCTCTACATTGTACACAATGTATTTGTCCTTATACTATTTCTATTTTCTGTCCTGGGTAGAGTTTTGTGCCTCTACCAGTACACGATGCATCAATCCTTATACTGTTTCTACTGCCTAGTGTGTCTCCATTCTGTACACTATATATCTGTCATGATACTATTACTGTCTTATCTTTTGTATCTCTACTTTGTACACAACAGATATACCCTCACATGATAGTTCCTTCTAATAAGGGTGTATCTGTCACCTCTGACCATTCTGAAACTGGTGCTGGCTGGACAGTTGTAGCTGTCTTTGTTAGATACATTGTATGACAGTATGGCTTGCTGGTTGTGCAATGTTTGTTCAGTTGTCATTTTAATGAAAGGGCTTGTAACTTCGTGGAACAAATAAAAATCTACGATATGATACTTCACTGATGATACTATTGTATTCCTTCTTTGTACCTATCAACTGATCTTGAGAAAAATTGCATCGGGTCAAAAGTTGACTAAACGCCAAACTTACCCCAAATATGGGAAGATGGTATTACATGCACATGAGCAACAGGAAGTAAAGTGGGATTGAGGCATTACTGTATTTGACAGAGTTATCATGCTTGGCAATGACTTCGTAAGAACACTGTATTTGACAGAGTTATCATGCTTGGCAATGACTTCGTAAGAACACTGTATTTGACAGTTATCATGCTCGACAATGACATCGTAAGAACCAGCAAAAGTTTCAACCCAGAATCAAAACACTGAAATAATTGAATAAAACATTTAATTATTTGTATATCATTTTATGTTATTTGGTAACTACAATGCGAGAGCGATGGATCATGTGACATCACATTTATGAATCCTTGTGTGTTATCCATGGAAACAGGGTAAAGTACAGTACACAAGTCTGCCGTGTATACACATGTGTTTGACAGTTCCCACAATGAAATGTGGTTGTGAGAAAACCGAAGTAAGAAAAATTTGAATGTGAAAATGTAACAAACATGATGTGTCATCCTCAGTGATGGAAAACTGAACAAATGAGTGAGATATTGTAACACTTTTATAATCTGTAATATAAAAACATACAGAAGACAGATTGTTTCTTGATGGGTAACCAGGTACACATTTTTGGACTTAGTTATTTCTCAAACCCGACCTATATAAGGGTTCTCAGTACTTGTTACAGCCCTACTCCCAATGAAGAAATGTTAAGCAAATTATAAATGATAATGTAAAGAAAAAAGGTTGAGAGGGAGTTAAAGAGAAAATACGTTCTGCAAATTGATCTGATTTTTTTGTTTTTCTTACGACTACTTAAACTACACGTGATATCATGTGAAATTTACTTTAAAAATCATGGTGATTGTAGTATGAATAATTTTTTAACAAAGTAATGCATAGAAAATGCATAAAGAATGGAATGGAATAAATTTGTATGAGGTTTTGAGTTGTTGAAGATGAGTAACAGTTTCTGCTGTCCTTGGCTGTATTGACATGTGATGTACAATGAATCTTACAAATTCTATACAACTACAAATTAACAGGTGTAGTCAGCAACTCCTTGAAACAATTAATCATGCTATGGACATTTTTATGCCATGTCGCATTGTGTCAATGAAGTTTCAGCTTCTCAAGGACATGTCCGACTTTCCTCAATGGCATTGAAATCCAAAAGGAAATTGATAATTAAACATAGAATTCAAAACCATCAATTGTTATATCAGCAGTTCTAAAAATTGAAAGTTTATTAATTATTTGTCAGTGTTTCCCTTTTGTTCCAGTAAATCGTTATCAGTTTGAATGAGACCAAATTGAAATGAACTGTAGCACTCGTTTTGTTATTTATAGTGTAAATGTTGAGCTAGTGATGAGTGTAATGAATATCTTTTATGTGAACTTATTCTTTTTATTTCCTGTTTGAAGTGGAAATTATTGATTAAGAAGTTGTAGTCTGACTATTGATTAAATTGTATGTTGAAATCACTCGATCTTCTCTATAAATGATGAATACTATCATCAGTGGGTTTGGGGGTTTGAGGTTGGCTGTTTTTGTGGATAAAATAAACCCACAAAAAATTACTGTAAAATCATATATATATGTGGGACTTGATATTCCTGCTTTTTCAAAACAATGCTTTTTTGTGGTTGAATATAGCTCAAAAATTCTACTTTCACTAACTGTAACAGTTCATATACATGGAATTTGTGCATAAAGTGTACCCAGGAAATCAGTGAAAATAAATTCCCCACAAAATTGACTGATTTTACGGTAGAGATTTTGAAAATAAAATGTATACACAAAACATTATTTCATGACTTTTCATGAAAATTTTGGTTAAGCTACAAAAATTTTAACCATTAGATGTAAAAGTAAGAAGTAGAGAAGGCATGAAACTCACAAACCATTCAAATCTTTCTTTGACAGTTGGATTTAGATGTTGATAGACGTTTATGCATGCTGTCTGCAACATTTGTCTCACTGACTTACTCTTACCTGGTCATGAGGTTTCAAGTTCATTTAACATCATTTACTTCTGTGTTTCTCAATATGTCATTCTGAACTTGTCTTTCTATTTCATAATTTCAAATCTTGTAGTTTCAATGAAATATAGCATTAGATTGAGATCAAAAAGCTGTGATTGTCCCGAAAGATAGAAAGACTGTTGTAGAATATTACATTAGCAGATTTTACTATAAGATGAAAATAAACATTTTTTTGTTTTTGTTTTTATCTGCCAGGATCCAAACAACAAAGTCCTGATATAAAAGTGAACCCGAGACTTACCTGTATTTTCTACCTGCTGGGAAATTGATTGATTGTATCAAATCTTCCTGTACTGTTAAGCACAGCTGCTAACGTGATCAGCCACTGAAACTCAGGGGGGAAAAGCCAGATAAATCCTACACAGACAACATGGAAGATGATGGTATGTACAGATATTTATTTTTATGGTGTTGTCAACATACTGAGTTTTATTTATGAATATTTTTTGTTTGGAAAAAATTACTTAAAACTAATGCTGATAACTGTTCGTGGGTTTATAGAAAACAAAAAAAAAATGCCAAAAATTCTTTACTATGTTGTTATGTTGTTGAGATATTTGATTCTAAATGTGTACATCAGACCAGATCACTGTACATTGTAGTGTGTACATCAGACCAGATCACTTTACATTGTATAGTGTACATCAGACCAGATCACTACACACTGTTGTGTCTACATCAGAACAGATCACTGTACACTGTAGTGTCTACATCAGACCAGATCATTGTACGTGTAGTGTCTACATCAGACCAGATCACTATACAGTGTAGTGTCTACATCAGACCATATCACTATACACTGTAGTGTCTACATCAGACCAGATCATTGTACACTGTAGTGTCTAACTCAGACCAGATCACTGAAGTGTCTACATCAGACCAGATCACTGTAGTGTCTACATCAGAACAGATCATTGTACATGTAGTGTCTACATCAGACCAGATCACTCTACACTGTAGTGTCTACATCAGACCAGATCACTATACACTGTAATGTCTACATCAGACCAGATCACTGTACACTGTAGTGTCTACATCAGACCAGATCATTGTACACTGTAGTGTCTACATCAGACCAGATCACTGTACAATGTAGTGTCTACATCAGACCAGATCACTGTACACTGTAGTGACTACATCAGACTAGATCATTGTACACTGTAGTGTCTACATCAGACCAGATCACTGAAGTGTCTACATCAGAACAGATCACTGTACACTGTAGTGACTACATCAGACCATATCACTATACACTGTAGTGTCTACATCAGACCAGATCACTGTAGTGTCTACATCAGACCAGATCATTGTACACTGTAGTGTCTACATCAGACCAGATCACTGTAGTGTCTACATCAGAACAGATCACTGTAGTGTTTACATCAGACCAGATCACTATACTCTGTAGTGTCTACATCAGACCAGATCATGTTAGTGTCTACATCAGACCAGATCACTATACTCTGTAGTGTCTACATCAGACCAGATCACTGTAGTGTCTACATCAGACCAGATCACTGTACACTGTAGTGACTACATCAGACTAGATCATTGTACACTGAAGTGTCTACATTAGACCAGATCATTGTACACTGTAGTGTCTTCATCAGACCAGATCACTATACTCTGTAGTGTCTACATCAGACCAGATCACTGTACACTGTAGTGACTACATCAGAGTAGATCATTGTACACTGAAGTGTCTACATCAGACCAGATCACTGTACACTGTAGTGTCTACATCAGACCATATCACTATACACTGTAGTGTCTACATCAGACCAGATCACTGTACACTGTAGTGACAACATCAGACCAGATCACCATACACTGTAGTGTCCACATCACACCAGATCACTGTACACTGTAGTGACTACATCAGGTTAGATCGCTACCTGAGCTAATGTTTAGACTGGGACTCGGTATTAGATATTGTCAATTACAACCACATGAAAAATTGGATAGCATACTGTAGAATTATTTAGTAACATTTGGTGAATCAGCCTTTGTTAAGTGGTACAGGAAATTGGGAATTTATGATAATCCATGACCTGTGATAGCTTCAGTGGTGTTTGTATACAAAATTATCAAAAAGGTGTAGAAGGATAACAGGTATTGATGACTTCTTGGTATTATTAGTTTTATTATTAGGGACTTCTCTTCAGGTAAAGACAGAATCAATTTTGACTTTCAGGATCAGCATCTGTTTCCAGAAAGATTTGATATATCACTTCTCTTTAACAGTGTTTTATTTAAGAAATATATAGATGATAACTTAAATCTTTTAAAGGTTAACATTTAAGATTTTAACTTGCTTGTAAGTTTGATAATTGTGAGTTTTATAATAGACTTCAATTTTTTTTCTGTGAACACAAATTTCATGACCACTCCCCCAATTTCATACAAACAGATGTGTCTTGCAAATGACAGGAAGATTTATGTTGTAAAATTTCCCAACTCTTGGCAAGTTTTCTGTTAGATCCAAATTAGTTTCTGGTTCAAGTAACTTAATGATTATTATGCATTTTTTCATGACTGAATTGATGGTTTGGATTAGAGTTATTACTGGAATTAGACTCGAAGATAGATGCACTACATCCTGAAACTGTGTGTTTATGCATATCATGACAGAAGAATGCTGGTGTCATGTTTCAAAAGAATCACATTGCTGGTCATAATCAGCATTTGTTTGTGCCATGCTTCATTATGTGTTTCGTCCATTTTCAAGTAGTTAGCAACCCAGTATGCTTATGAGCAATCTTGTTAGATTTGTAATATTATTGTTCTGTTAATGTTGTGCTTAACAATTTTCATTTTCATTTGAAGACAAGGCTCATTATGTTTATAATGATAGTGCTTTGTATTTGATGCTTTTACAGCATATTAGGGAAACAAACTGTTCGATTGATTGAAGGGTTAGGGGAGGAGAAAGAGAGATAAAGATAAGTGGGGGAAGGAAATGAATAGGTGAAAAATGGAGGGATAAAGAGAGAAGGCCAGTGGACAGAATAGAAAAGGAACTTCAGAAAATCTATTGACAACGACTCCTATTCAGGTATTTTATATATACTTAGATCCAATGCAAAAAATTTGGTTTCACAAAATGCAAAAGAAAATTGGTAAAGATTCTCATAGGGCTTTCCCGACATATCTTTTGATATATGAAATATTCGAAGATGCAATTCAATGATTCACCCAATCTTCACAAAATAGGGAAATATGTAATGAGAAATATCTTCTGTATAGTATGTATTTCTATTGTATGGACTCTGCATACCACAACTTGGCTTGTGGAGAGGCATTGTCATGTAAAGGTTGCTCTGGACAGTATATGGTTAGGTAATTAAAGCCAGCAAGAGTGATTAAAGACCATACATAGCCATTATTTCCATCAGCGCACATGAAAGAGATGTAGGGAAATGGACGGCACAGTCTCCCAACGACAAGAATACTCATCATGTTAAAGCCGTGTTAAATGATAAGGTATGATCAAATGGCCATGCAAAATCGTGATGAGCAAACAGATGGATGATTTGATATCAGTTCAATGATGTTGAACAGGAATTAGTACCACAGGTGAATTTACCTGTGTGGGTTTGGATATCCTAGTCTGATGTATCATTTTACTTGTGACATATTTAAAAAGGGAAGATCTGATTTAGTGTAGTACCTGACCTTAGAGGTCTATTGGTAAAATGATATTGTACAGTTTTACAATATTACAGTAATATGTTCGATTTCTATGGAAGTTTAATGATTTCAGGGTTTTTTAAAGGGTTGATAATAGGCCCCATTCCCAATTGAAATTATTTCATATCATTACTCTCGAAAACATTTTGTTCAATTAAACAATTTTCTTCCCCTAAATAAGGCAAAAAGGTTTATCTCAAAGCAGTTATTAAACCCTGGATTTATATTTGAATCACTATTTACAGTTATGTAACTAGGGATTTGCAATGATATTGCAATTGTCAATATTGTCTAGTGCAATATTTGTATATTGACAATATATTGCAATATAATTTTCACTATTGCCATATATTGCAGCAACTTTCTTTCTACAAATGTTTTAGGGATTTATCTGCAGAACTTTTGTAGAGAAATTTTGTTGAAAACCAAATTCAGCTTATTTAACATGTTCTTGAATTATTGTGTGGTGATATATAATTCAGAATGTAGTTTACAGTATATCACAGCATTAAATTATGCTTGTGCTTGTACACATTTGTTCTACAAAAAAAATTTAGGTATACTAAAAAATGATATACCAAGATATTACCGAGATATATTGCAATATCTCTTTGAACAATCACAAGAACTGCTCGCAGTACCAACCCTTAAACTTAACTGTATGATTTAATTTGACGGTACTGTCCAATGTGAAACTAGCAAGTGTGTTTTATTGAAAGCTTTAGGTCAACCTTTGTCACCTCTTTAAGGTATGTTAACAGTGGTCTGTTTTGACTTCAATATTTAATGTAGCGTAGGCATGTTGTTTTTGTTTTTGTGCTGGTAACTGATGGTAAGAACGTGTAATATAATGTAATTTAGCCTAATTTCCTAATTAGTGTCGGTGAAAAGGCCACCTGTCCTCACCTGAAATCAATGTGAAGCTTGTGGTACTTCCCAGCTAATGGATCTACGATATGCTTGAGTTGGCATAGGGGATTGGGACATATAATATAGAGAAAATGGTGGAGTATGCTAGACTGTGGAAGTGAGACATTGTAATTGTTAGAACTCATGTTGGATGTCAGTATTGGGATAACAAAAGAAAGTGTAGAACAGCACTGAGTAGTTGTTTTGTTGTCCCTAAAATTTTATGAGGGTCATATGGTGTTTCCTGTGTCTGCTTGTCCCATTCTGAATTAATGTTATCACTTGATCTTTCAATCCTATTTCTTAAGGAATTAAGAAATTATTTTATGCAAAAGGTTAACGAAGACAATATTTCTGATTAGTTCCTGTTTTACAGTTCAAAGGACAAGTTCATCAATGCTATTTATAGAAATTGTTGAGATATTGCCAAGTTGCTACTTATACTCCCAATGGTTTCAGGAGTTTGGTTTGTTGGTTGCTTTTAAAGTGCACAAAACACAAAAATTATGTGAAAAAATATTGTAACTTTATATTTGTTTATTGTAAACTGTATTTTAAGGTTTGGTAGTGGGAAAAAAAAGAAATGTAAGAGAAACAGTTGAGGAAGAAAAGGAAATGGAAAGAAAAGATAGATTGAAATCAAAAAGCCTATTTAAAAAATCTCTAAAAACTGAATATCTGCACTGTTTGGAAAAGCTATTCTTTCAAGAAACAAACCATTTACTTGAGAAAAGTTTTCCATTACTGGTTCATATAATAAAGTGAAAAGACCCTTGTTCTGCTC